AAAAAAAAAAAATCACCCACCTTTGTCTGGGAAGCATCACTTTCTATCCACTAGGTCAACAGAGCTCTTTCTAAGTTGGTAAGTGCCGTAGATTGTAGACTCTTCCATAATTACCGACTTGCACTGACTTATCTCCTTTCACACCTCATCTGGTCTTTTATGGCTACTTTCTTCCTTGAATCTTCATCTGCTTGTTCTTGTCATACATATCCCTTCATTCCATTTAAGAGAACTGCATCCCTACAAGTGTTTATGTAATTGTTTGCTAAAAGTTTGGGGCTAAAAGAGAGATTATGACACAACCAAACAGTACACAGAATTGGACTGAATATTAGAAATTATTGTTGTTGCTGTTAAGTGCTGTCGAGTTGGAGGCGACTCATAGCGACCCTATGAATGAAAGACCCAAACACCTGTATAACTTTCGATCTCTCTCCAGGTTCATAGGGTTTCCAGAGGCAAGCTGTTATGGAAGTGGATGCCACTCCTGCTTCCAAGCTTGTTTTAATCAGGAAGCTCCACCAAACACTGTCCATCATGGGTAACCATTATCACATTTGACACATCACTGTCACAGTGTTCAGCTTCACAGCAACCACGAGTTACCTCTGTACAGCAAGTGGACATACCAGTAATATAGAAATTACTGATCTAAAAAAGAACCAGTGTGGTCTGAAAACTATGACCTGTGCAACAGCCCCCCTGTATTTTTTGTGTACTGGCTGTGGCTGCTTTGATGCTACAACAGAATAGAGTGAAGTGCTGGCAACAGAGACCCAAATAACCTCAAAACTGAAGGCCTTTGTTATCTAATTCTTTCCAGGAAGAACTTGCCTGCTCTTGAATTGCATCACATAATTGTTGTTTGGGTGTCATGCAGTCAATTCTGACTGATAACACAAAGAATTTCTTATTAGCTAGTTCCTTTTCCTTTTTGGTTCATCCACCCTACCTCAAGCCTCTTTCCTTAGACTACCTCTTTTCTCTTGGTCTTTACTCAGAGTTTAACGTTTTAAGTCCTAGGCTCCTTGCAAATTCAGCTCTCCATTTCTCTTTATCATCCAATGCCCTTGCTTACTCTGGCTCCCAAACACCACACCTACTGAACAAAATCCATTACCACCGAGTTCATTCTAACAGCGAACCTATGGGACAGAGTAGAACAGCTAGTGGATTCAAACCACGAACATTTTGATTTGTTGTCTTTGGTGGTCTGTGCACTTACCTTTTGGTTAGCCAAAAGTTTTAGTCACTGAGACACAAAGCCCCCTTGCTCTGGCTGCCTACTGGTCCTAAAATGTTCTACCCATAGGGTCCATTTGGGTGCATTCAGATGCAAAAGTGCAATGTGCCCTGAGGTAAAACTTGGATATTTCCAATTGTAGAGAACAGAAGAAAAAGCAGCACATCTATTAGTAAAATATGTTCCTCTACACCCTACTTCTTCCTCATATCATTATGCACTGATATAAACCTGATATTTTCTTTCTACACATACATTGAAGAATAAGAAAACCCCTTAATGCAGTGTTGCTTAGTCAATTCCAACTCATAGCAACCCTCCGTTGGTCTTCTGAGACTGTCAGTCCTCATGGAAGGAGACAGCCTATCCTTCACCAGAAGAACAACTGCTAGATTAAGAATCACTAATTTTTCAGTTAGCAACACATCACATAATGCGCTTTCCCGCCAGAGTCCCTTACCAATTTCTTCTTGTTATGTACTGTTAAGTCAGAACTGACTTATAGCTGACCCTCCAGTGGGTTTTCAGAGGCAATATATTGCACAGAAGGAGATCATCCATCTTTCTTCTGTAGAGCAGCTGGTGGGTTTGAATCACATGACTTTGGGTTGGCATTGCAGCTTCTTAACCACTAGGCTACCAGAGCTCCCTTACACATATATGACAAATCCTAAATTCTGTACAGGACAATGGAAGAGGACATAGACAAAGGGAGGTTTAGAAGAGACAGCTTATAGTTATTCAAGACATAAACTAACCTATCATCATCAGAACAATTCTGAGTCATACCAATCTTTTAAAACAGAGTAAAGCTCCCACCTAAAGTCTTCAAGACTGGAATCTTTAGGGAAGCAAATGGTTTCATCTTTCTCCCTTGGAAGAACTAAAGGATTAGAACCACTGACCTTTCAGTTAGTAGCCAAGTTCTTAACTACTATGTCACCATTGTTGTTGTGTACTGACAAGTGGGAACCAACCCATAGCTGACCCTCCGGCACATTTTCAGAACAAGTTAATCACACAGGAGATTACCAATCTTTTTCCCACAGAGAAGCTGGGGGATTTGAACCACATGCCTTTAGGATTGCAGCACAGCTTCTTGCCATTATGCCACCAGAGTGCCCAGCTATCACCAGTGTTCCTTAGACATAAATATAGGCAACCCACTTTTTTTTTCTAATTACACAAAAACACAGGTTAGTTATATCCTAGAGAGCTTTAATGGCATAGTCTATAGGGAGTTGTGCCAGTAACCCTGCCTGCTGCTGGTTCAAATCCACCAGTAGCTCCACAAGAGAATGATGGGTAATTTTTTCTAGTGTGATTCTTACAGCTTCTGAAAACTTGAGGGTCAGTTATGCGTGGGTTCTGAGTGGACAGCACTGAGTATTTTCTCATTTCATTAATTATATGGTCAGAGTTGTTGGCAAATTAAAAAAAAAAAAAAGAAGAAGAAGCCAATCTATTGGGCTTCCAAGAGAAAGTTCATCAATTTAAAAGCACTAGCTGCTCTATAGGAGAAAGGTGGGCAGTTTGGATCCACCAGTGGCTCTGAGGGAGAAAGATGGGTAATCTCCTTCCCTACAATTTATGGTCTTGGAAACCCAATGGAGGGTCAGCTATGGGTCTGTTCTAATTTGGCAGCAGTGGCTTTTGAGTTTGAGTTTTGTCCTGTTTATGCCATATCAGAGATGAATGTATTTGGCTTTCAATAAATCACCTTGCTTCTATGCTACCTCCTAGCTTGTTTTTAATTTCTAATTAAGAAGAACATGAAATATACATTGGTTTTGAAAATTCAGAATTGATATTGTATTGTTGAAGCTTCAATGTTACTCTGAAAGTTTGAAAGGAAAATTACATTCTTTGTATATCAGCACAGATGTGTACACTGGGAGCCAAAAGCAAGTAATGCAGGAGATTTTAAAACAAAATGAAGCAGAGAATAGTTTGCATTCAAGGATGCTTTAAGGTATGCTGTCCAGGTCCTTTGGGTGATACCGTCTGCTCCCTTTACAATTGGGGTGTATGATGGAAAAGTTAAGCAATGCTAAGTTTGATTTCTGTGCTACCCCCAAACCTGATTTGGCAACCTAATTGCAAACAGTGAAGGTGATGATTTGCTAAGAGTTGTGCTGTGTTGTTGTTGTTGATCGCCATGGAGTCAAGAGCACGACTCATAGCAACCCTATGAACAAAAGACCTGAAGCCTTTCTATACTATACTATGGTCCTTTCTGAAAGTTATAGAGTTCCCAGAGGCATGATGTTTAGGAAGTGGCTGCCACTCCGGCTTCCAAGAGTCCAGTTTTTAAAACTCTACATTCTATAGGTACACATCAAATAGCATGCTGATCAGTTTGCCTGCCCTAAAACAATTTTCCGCTTTTCTTCTTATCTAAGTTCCCCTAACCTAGCTCAGAATGCCATCACCCAAGAAGTCATGGTGAGCAGCTCCACCCTGAAGTGATGTCTCTGGAACTCACAGCACATCCTCATTCTCCCATTTTACAAAAATAAAACGTTTTCTCATAAAAGTGATATGTGTTTGTTATTTAAAAGAGAGTTTACAGTAAAAAGATAAAGAAGAGAAAAATTACCAGTAATAACTTCCAACTATTGGTTACTATTGTTTTTTCTTTTAAAAATAGTTTACCTTTGCAGGACTGTACCCCAAGATCCTATTAATTGTGTAATATTGAATCTTGGCTGGTTTTGTTTTCATTTTGTGCAAGTGACAACTTTCCCTCCCCATCATTTAAAAAGCCCATCCATACAATAAACATATCCCATAGTACATTATGCCATTTTTTGCTTTCAATCATACTGAATCATCTTTTGTCTATTTAGCTCTAGCATTGATTCATTTCCTTGTTTACTAATTCTTCGTTCATCAGTCATTTATACACCAAAGGTGGTGTCTATTTTCCTTCTCAAACTAAATTAGAAACTTTTTGTGAATAAATTCATTGCTGTTAAGTCAATTCCAACTTGTGCCAAACCTCCATTGCGTTCCTAAGACTTAACAAGAAGAGACTGTCTACCATTCTCCCATGAAGCCACTGGTGCTTTTAAATTGATGAACTTTTTGTTGAAAGCCCAACATGTTGGCTCCTTTTTTTTTTCTTTCTTAATTTGCTAAAAACTCTAACCATCTAGTTAGTGAAAAGAGAATATAGTCAGTGGTGTTCAGTCAGAACTCACACATAGCTGAACCTCAGGTTTTCAGAGGCTGTAATCACACCAGAAAAGATGGCCCATCTTTCTTTCATGGAGCTACTGGTGGATTTGAACCAACAGAAGACAGGACCTTTGAATTCCCAACTCAACGCTCTATAGATTAGACCAACAGAGCTCCCTTACAAATGGCGAGGGTTCAGTAAATACTTGAGTGAACCTTCCAAAATTTAGTTATCTCAACTTTTTGTAAACATTCTCTTTACTTCAGTGTACAAATCAGTTTGTGAACATTGACTCTTTTAAAAAAAAACAAAACAAAAAAACATTGACTCTTAACTGCCTTTTCACAAAGAAGCTATTTTTGTTTGCCTTCAAGTTGATTCTGGCTTAAATGACCCTCTAGGATAGACCAGAAATGCCCCATTAGTTTCCTAGGCAGTAATCCTTGCCTGAACTGACTGCCCAATCTTTTCTCCTGTGTGGAGACTGGTAGGTTCCAAATAGAAGTATATGGCTAATAGAAAAGTAAGAAGGCCTTGATGAATTGTTTCTTAAAGTTTCCTTTTCAAGTATTCTGTAGGAACAATGTTAATAATTTGTGGCGACATTTAATACACAAGGGATAAGTCAGAGACTGTACTTAAACTATACAGACTGAAATGTTCCTGTGCACCCAGGCCAGGTACAGTTGCAGGGTGGGTAATAATATGAAGGGACATTCAAAGACATAGTATGTTAATACATGATAATATTCAGAGATGATTAAAGCAAAAGATGCATGAGAACAGTGGTGAGGAATCCAAATGGCAATAATAGCTAGTGACCAGGTAAACTGGTAGACCTCATCAGGTTCTGTCTGTCTGTTGGCAGAAGGATAGCATCCCTGACCTTAAGAAGAGAGGTTCCAACATGACCTACGAAGTATTCAGATACCTTGGATATACTATTCTGTCTTGACTGTAAGTTAAAGGAGAGGTCATCTATTTTGAAACTGACCTACCCAGAACCAGTTCTTGATTCCTGGCACCTATCCTAACAACCAGTCAGAAGAAAAGACTTAAGAAAATACTTGTCTGTTATGAGTAATGTGTGTATTCTCTGGAGTGTAGCTCTTTTCATGTAGCAACGCAAACATCAGAGGCCTTGTTTGTTCTTTAACAAGGCAATATGGAAAGAGGTTGAGCTATTCATTAATCTTGCTTATCTACTTAATAACTCAGTTTCTCAGCATTATGCCATACTTGCTGATGCCCTCTGTAACATGTACAACAGTCTTATAATTGTAAGTAGTTCTTAAGAACTTATTGTGTATAGATGGTAATAAAGTCATGTTAATCACCATATGAATCTGGGGAGTGCAGTTGTTGTATATACCATTGCCTGAATTAAAATACCCTTTCATTTCAGTGCCCTTCCCTGACAAAGTACTGTAATGCTAGAGGATACATCAAATTCAATGTTGTTTCAAAAGGAATCAATTCTTTTCAACAAAATACAAGTTGAGATTTCATGAAATCGTTGAAGTGGCATTGCAGGGAAACAAACATATGCTTTTAAAGCTGATGAAGAAGAACTCCAAGTAACTACTGAGTTACCTAGCATCTCAGCTCTGTTTGCCTTATAGTCATTCTTTGTTCTTCCTCTCTCCTTATGCTGAAAGTTAATGGGAAAGGCTGCGCATTGTTTCAGTTAAAGGACGGTGAGTCATTGGGAAGTTCTGATTTGGAAAATCGTGATTCTTCTTCCATATCTTAAAATGTTCTAACATGGAAAGAACTCAATAAGCAGAACTTGGAAACTCCAGGAAGCTTGAAAAACACGTCATGTATGACTATACTTGCCTGATGATAATCATTGTTACTATTTTAATTCATTTTTCTAATCTTTTCATTTATATGCTTATTTATATATATCTTTCTAGTTCCCTTGTATAATGTCCATTCCTTTCTGTTAGAATGAACTGAAAATACATACTATATTAGCATTGCATTTTCTAAAAGAAAAGAGTATTTACTATTTTAAATAATTTAATAAATAAATTAAATTTAAGGTAACTCAGAAGAAATAAATATCTAGGAACAAATGAGAAGCTTGAGTGTGTCCTAAGTTCGCTCTTCAAAATCATTAGTGTTTTATACCTTGCTTGTGTTTAAAAAAATGCCAAAAATTGAAATAAGATAATAATTTTTATGAGCTTACTTTTGTATTTTGTTGTTGTTGTTAGATACTGTTGAGTAGAGTATGACTTGTGTTTAGTATATCCTAAATTTGCTTTAAAAATAAAGCTTTTAAGAGTTTATGAAGTTAGTAAACATGAAATGACGTTTTCTTTTTTTAATGGTTTTTTTTTTAATTTATTTTATTTGTGTGTGTGTACCGTCAAATCGGATCTGACTTGAAGTTAGTAAACATAAAATGATGTTTTCTTTTTTTAATGGTTTTTTTTAAAAAAAATTTATTTTATTGTTTGTGTGTGTGTACCGTCAAATCGGATCTGACTGGTACAGGAGGAGGACATTGCCCCTCCTTCACCAGCAGAGCATCTGGTGGATTCAAACCACGCACCTCTGGGATTGCAGTGCAGCTTTTTGCCACTAGGCCACCAGAGCTTCCTGAAATGACGTTTTCTAAGTAAGAGGCACCAGAATCTTTAATGTTGTTACTGTTCTTGGTATTATTCTATCAAGTCGACTGTCACTCATAGTGACTCTATGTACAGCAGCTCTGAAGCCTGCCCTGCCCTGAGTCAGTCTTACTGTCTCTGATACACCTACCCCCGTTACCCTAGTTACTGTATCAATCCATCTCATCCAAGGTCTTCCTTTCCTGTGCTGTCCCTCCACCGTCCAAAGCACAATGTCCTTCTCCAAGGACTGCTTCTTCCTGGCAACATGCCCAAAATATGTAAAATACAGCTTCAAAATCCTTGCCTCTAAGAAACAACTTGGTTTCACCTTCTCCAGGCCAAATCTGTTTGTTCTCTTGGCAATTCATGGTATGGTCAATACTCTTCTCCAGCATCACAACTCAAAGACATTGATTCTTCTTCTGTCATTCTTAATCATTATCCAGCTTTCATGCATATCTAGTGATTGCAAAAATCGTGACCTGGATCAAGTAAACATTAGTCTATAGACTGAGATTGCTTTTCTTCAGCACTCTGGAGAGATCCCTGACAGATTTTTCTAATATAGTTATGTCATCTTTTGATTTCCTGATTGCTGGTGCCAAGAGTATTAATTATGGATCTGAGCAAGATGAAATCATTAACAATTTCAAATTCCTCTCCATTTTTCATGGTGCTACCAATTGGCTCAGTAGAGAGAATTTTTGTTTTCTTGATATTGAGCTTCTATCCATATTGAAGACTACTGTCTTTGACCTTCTGTAGCAAAGGCTTCAGGTCCTGTTCAGTTTCTGCAAGCAAGATTCTGTCATCTATATAATGCATGTTTTTGATGAGTCTCCAATCCTAATGCCACCTTCCTTCTCATAAAGTCCAGCCTCCCAAATGATATGTTCCACATATAGATTGAAAAGGTATGGAGAGAGGATGTATCCCTGACACTCTCCTTTCTTGATGTTGAACTATACACTGTTCCCTTGCTCTGTTCTGAGAACTGTTTCCTGGTCTAAGTTTCACATGAACAAGATCAAATGTTCTGGGATTCTCATTCTTCTCAAGGTTATCCACAATTTGTTGTGATCCACACAGTCAAATGCCTTTATATAGTCAATGAAACACAGATAGACATTTCTCTGGTATGCTCTGCTTTCAGTCAAGACCCATCTGACATTAGCAATGAAGGCCCTAGTGCCATAGCCTCTTCTCAACTCAGCTTGTATTTCTGGTAGTTACTATTTTATTCTGGTAATACAGTCAGCTGTTATGCATCAGAGAGTTAGACAGTGACTAGGGAGGATCGAAGGAGAATTGATGCCTTTGAGCTGTGGTGCTGGAGAAGAGTATTGAGAGTACCATGGACTGCCAAGAAAACAAACAGATTCATCCTGGAGAGGGTGAAACCAAGCTGCTCCTTGGAGGCAAGGATTCTGAGGCTTCGTCTGACATACTTTGGACACGTTGTAAGGAGAGACCGGTCCTTGAGAGGGACATCATGCTTGGGACAGTGGAGGGACAGCGCAGGAGGGGAAGGCCCTCTATGAGGTGGATTGATTCAGTGACTGGGGTGATCGGGATCAGTGTGTCAGAGGCAGTGCCATTGGCACAGGATAGAGCAGGGTTTAGGGCTGTTGTATATCGGGTCACTATGAGTCGCAGGCAACTGG